AAAAAAATCCAGGAATTCCCTCAGGTTCTCAACTCTCATTCCAAAATATTGTGAATTCCTTCAAACTCCAAATTCCCATCCAAAACTATCCAGGAATTCCTTCATGTTCCCAATTCCTCCTCCCCAAAATACCCAGGAATTCCCTCAGGCTCCAAATTCCAACCCCAGAAAAACCCAGGAATTCCCTCAGGTTCCAATTCCTATCCCAAAACACACAGAAATTCCCTCAGGCTGGGAATTCCAACCTCAAAACCTCGGGAATTCCCTCAGGATACAAATTCCCACCCCAAAAATCAAAAAATTCCCTCAGGCTGGGAATTCCAACCTCAATCCCTTGGAAATTCCCTCAGGCTCCAAATTCCCACCCCCAAAAAAACCAGGAATTCCTTCAGATTCCCAATTCCTAGCCCAAAATACCCCGGAATTCCCTCAGGCTCTAAATTCCAACCCCAAAAAACCCCAGGAATTCCCACAGGATGGAAATCCTAACCTCAGAAGCTTGAGAATTCCATCAGGCTCCAAATTCCCATCCAAAAACATTCAGGAATTCCTTCATGTTCCAAATCCAATCCCAAAAAAAATCCAGCAATTCCCTCAGGTTCCAAATTCCCACCCCAAAATATCCAGAAATTCCCACAGGTTTTTAATTCACAGCCCAAAATATCCAGGTATTCCCTCAGGCTGGGAATTCCAACCCCACCAAACCACGGGAATTCCCTCAGGCTCCAAATTCCAACCCCAAAACCTCGGGAATTCCCTCAGGTTCCCAACTGCCAGCCCAAAATATCCAGGAATTCCCTCAGGTTCCCTATTCCCATCCCAAAACCTTGGAAATTCCCTTAGGGTGGAAATTCCCATCCCAAAGCCTCAGGAATTCCCTCAGGCTGGAAATGCCAGCCCCAAAACCTTGGGAATTCCCTCAGGCTCCCAATTCCCATCCCAAAATCCCAAAGACACCCTCAAGCTGCCAATTCCCAGCCCAAAACCTCAGGAATTCCCTCAGTTTCCCTTTCCCATCCCAAATAAAATGGGAATTCCCTCAAATTCCGAATTCCCATTCCCAAAAAAACGGGAATCCCCTCAGTGTCCCAATTCCCATCCTATAAAATCCCAGAAATTCCCGCAGTGCTCCTAAAACATCCAGGAATTCCCTCAGTGTTCACTCCCATCCCAAAAGATGTGGGAATTCTCTCATGTTCCCAATTCCCACCCCAAAACATCCAGGAATTCCCTCATGTTCCCAATTTGCATTCCAAAACATCCAGGTATTCCCTCAGCGTCAGAATTCCCACCCCAAAACATCCAGGAATTCCCTCATGTTCCCAATTTGCATTCCAAAACATCCAGGTATTCCCTCAGCGCCAGAATTCCCATCCCAAAACATCCAAGAATTCCCTCAGGATTCACTTTCCATCGCAAAAATCCTGTTAATCCCCTCATGTTCCCAATTCCCATCCCAAAACATCCAGGAATTCCCTCAGTGCTCCATGTCCATCCCAAAAAAACCCAGGAATTCACTCAGTGTTCCACCAGAATCCAAAAAGATCCAGGAATCCCCTCAGTGTCCCATTCCCATCCCAAAACATTTGGGAATTCCCTCAGTGTCCCATTTCCCATCCCATAAAAACCAGGAATTCCCTCAGTGTTCCCTCTTAACCCCAAAACATCCAGGAACTCCCTCAGGTTTCACTCCTCATCCCAAAAAAACCAGGAATTCCCTCAGTGTCCCAATTCCCACCCCAAAACATCCAGGAATTCCCTCAGTGCTTCATTCCCATCCTATAAAAACCTGGAATTCCCTCAGTGTTCCCTCTTCATCCCAAAACTTTCTGAAATTCCCTCAGCGTTCAATCTTCATCCCCCAAAAACCGGGAATTGCCTCATGTTCCAAATTCCCATCCCAAAACATCCAGGAATTCCCTCAGGATTCACTTTCCATCCCAAAAAAACCATTAATCCCCTCAGCATCCCATTCCCATCCTATAAAAAACCGGAATTCCCTCAATGTTTCCTCTTCATCCCAAAATACCCAGGAACTCCCTCAGGGTTCACTCCTCATCCCAAAAAAAAACTGGAATTGCCTCATGTTCGCAATTCCCATCCCAAAAAATCCAGGAATCCCCTCAGTGCTCCATTCCCATCCCAAAAAACCTGGGAATTCCCTCAGTGTCCCATTGCCATGCAAAAACATTCAGGAATTCCCTCATGTTCCCAATTCCCATCCCAAAACATCCAGGAATCCCCTCAATGTCCCATTCCCGCCCCAAAACATTCAGGAATTGCCTCATGTTTGCAATTCCCATCCCAAAAAATCCAGGAATGCCCTCAGTGTTTCCTCTTCATCCCAAAACATTCAGGAATTGCCTCATGCTCCCCATTCCCATCCCAAAAATCCCAGGATTCCCCTCAGTGTTCCATCAGCATCCCAAAAAAACCAGGAATTCCATTAGTGCTTCATTCCCACTCCAAAAATACCCCAAAATTCCCTCATGTTTCCAATTCCCATCCCAAAACATCCAGGAATTCTCTCAGTCTCCCATCCCCATCCCCAAAAAAACCCGGGAATTCCCCCAGTATTCACTTTCTATCTCAAAAATTCCCTCATGTTGCCAATTCCCATCCCAAAAAATCCAGGAATCCCCTCAGTGTCCCATTCCCATCCCAAAAAAACTGCAAATTACCTCATGTTCCCAATTCCCCCTCAAAACATCCAGGAACTCTCGCAGGGTTCACTCCTCATCCCAAAAAACCAGGAATTGCCTCATGTTCCTAATTCCCATCCCGAAACATCCAGGAATTCCCTCAGGATTCACTTTCCATCCCAAAAATCCCGTTAATCCCCTCAGTGTTCCATTCCCATCCCAAAAAACCTGGGAATTCCCTCAATGTCCCATTGCCATGCAAAAACATTCAGGAATTCCCTCATGTTCCCAATTCCCATCCCAAAACATCCAGGAATTCCCTCAGTGTTTCCTCCTCATCCCAAAAAAAAAAAGGAATTCCCTCAGGATTCACTTTCCATCCCAAAAATCCCATTAATCCCCTCAGTGTCCCATTTCCCATCCCCAAAAAATCCAGGAATTCCCTCAGTGTTCACTTTCCATCCAAAAAAATCCAGGAATTCCCTCAGTGTTCACTTTCCATCTAAAAAAATCCAGGAATTCCCTCAGTGTTCCCTTTCCATCCCAAACTTCCCGGGAATTCCCTCAGGATTCACTTTCCATCCCAAAAATACCATTAATCCCCTCAGTGTCCAATTTCCCATCCCAAAAAAATCCAGGAATTCCCTCAGCGTTCACTTTCCACCCCAAAAAAATCCAGGAATTCCCTCAGTGTTCACTTTCCATCCCCAAAAAATCCAGGAATTCCCTCAGTGTTCACTTTCCATCCCCAAAAAATCCAGGAATTCCCTCAGTGTTCCCTTTCCATCCCAAAAAATCCAGGAATTCCCTCAGTGTTCACTTTCTATCCCAAAAATTCCCTCATATTCCCAAGTACCATCCCAAAAATCCCATTAATCCCCTCAGTGTCCCATTCCCACCCAAAAAATCCAGGAATTCCCTCAGTGTTCACTTTCTATCCCAAAAATACCATTAATCCCCTCAGTGTCCAATTTCCCATCCCAAAAAATCCAGGAATTCCCTCAGTGTTCACTTTCTATCCCAAAAAATCCAGGAACTCCCTCAGTGTCCAATTTCCCATCCCAAAAAATCCAGGAATTCCCTCAGTGTTCACTTTCCACCCCAAAAAATCCAGGAATTCCCTCAGTGTCCAATTTCCCATCCCAAAAAATCCAGGAATTCCCTCAGTGTTCCCTTCCCACCCCAAACTTCCCGGGAATTCCCTCAGGTCCCGGTGTCACTCCAGCATTGCCGCTGCCACCCCGAATTCCCGGGCTCGCCGCGAATTCCCGGCGCCACCCGTTATTCCCGGTGCCACTCCCGAGTTCCCGGTGTCACTCCCGAGTTCCCGGCGCCACCCGTTATTCCCGGTGTCACTCCCGAGTTCCCGGTGCCACTCCCGAGTTCCCGGTGTCACTCCCGAGTTCCCGGTGTCACTCCCGAGTTCCCGGGCTCCCCTCAGGCCCCGCCCGGTTCCCATCGCCGCCCGCTCCACCGGCACCGCTCCCGCCGCCGCCCCGGGCCGCCCTCAGCGCCTCCTCCCCTCACGGAGCGGCGGGGGCGGGAGCGGCCCGGGCCTACCGGGGGCGGGCCGTGCCTACCGGGGGGCGGGCCGGCCCGGGCGCAGCGGGGCGGCCCCGCGGGCGCTGCCGGCGCCGTCCCGGGGCGGACTCACCGCGGGCCGGGCCGGGCCGGGCCGGCGCTGCCGCCGCGCAGGAGCCGCCGCCGCTTCCTCCCGGTCCGCCACAAAATGGCGGCGGCAGGAAGTGCCCCCCGCGCGCCGGCCCCGCCCCGCGCTACGCCAACGGCGTAGGGCGGCCCCGCCCGCGCCGCGCGCGCCCGGCGCTACGCCGGCGGCGCAACGCCGCGCCGGGATGCTCGTACGCTAGCGGCGTAAGGCGGCGCAAAGCGGCGCTTACGCAAACGGCGCGGCGCGGCCCCGCCCGCCCCGCCCCGCGCCCTACGCAAACGGCGTAACCCCGGCGGCGCAGGGCGGAGGGCGCTCCGCCGCGACCCCCGCGCCGCCCGCTGAGGGCGGACACGCCGCGGATCGCACCGGGAGGCGGCGGAGAGAGCGGCGGGCGCGGCGGAGGGCGGCGCTTCCGCCGGCGGCGCCCCCGCCTTTACGGCGTTGGCGCAGCGGCGGGGCCCGCGCCGCGGTTTACGCCGTTGGCGTAGCCGCCCTGACGCAGCGGCCGCATTACGCAATGCGGGTTACGCCGGCGGGGCGACGTAAGCGGCGTTGGTGAATCGCGGCACCCCCATCGAGCCCACCCGGCGTCCCCCGCTCCGTCCTCCCGCTGCCCCTCAGCGCCTGCGGCGCCCCCGGCGCGGCCCGGCCCGGCCCTCCCGGCGCGCCCGCGGCGGCCCCGCTCTTACCTGAGGGGGCCGCGGCGCTCCGGGCCGGGCTCCGTCCGTCCCGGCGGGCCGGGGGCGGAGGAGGAGGAGGAGGAGGAGGGAGGGGAGGGGCGGGGGGGCCGCGGGCACCGAGGGGCAGCGGCTCCGGCAGCGGCGCCGCACTGACCTCACCGCGCTGCGCGTGACGTCACGGCGCACCGGGACACGCCCCCCGCCGCCGGCCCCGCCGCGTGACGTCACGGGCGGAGCGGGAGGGGAGGGGAGGGGGGGGGACCGGGGGGACACCGGGAGGGGACAGGGAACACCGGGAGGGGACAGGGAACACCGGGGGGACACCGGGAGGGGAACCGGGGGGGGACAGGGGACACCGGGGGGGGACACCGGGGGGGGACAGGGGACACCGGAGGGTGGGGGAGGACACCGGGAGGGGACAGGGGACACCGGGAGGGGAACCGAGGGGACAGGGGAAACCGGGAGGGGACAGAGGACACCGGGGGGGGACAGGGGACACCGGGAGGGACTGGGACAGCGGGGGGGACAGGGACAGAGGGAGGGACAGGGACAGAGGGGGGGACAGGGACAGAGGGAGGGACAGGGACACCGGGCAGGACAGGGGACACCGGGAGGGACAGGGGACACCGGGAGGGACAGGGGACACCGGGAGGGAACCGAGGGGACACCGGGAGAGAACCGGGGGGACACCGGGAGGGAACCGAGGGGACACCGGGAGAGAACCGGGGGGACACCGGAGGGTGGGGGGGTCACCGGGAGGGGACATTTGGGGGGTCCCGGGGGTCCCGGGAGGAGACAGGGGACACCGGGAGGGTCCCTGGGGACGTTTTGGGGGTCCCGGGTGACACCGGGGGCGTTCCAGGGGATTTTTGGGGGGGTCCCGGGACAATTTGGGACCTTCTGGGGACATTTTGGGGGTCCCTGGATAAATTTGGGGACATTTGGGGGTCCCTGGGGACACTTTGGGGACATTTTGGGGGTCCCAGGAACATTTTGGGGGGGTCCCAGGGACAATTTGGGACCTTCTGGGGACATTTTGGGGGTCCCTGGATAAATTTGGGGACATTTTGGGGGGATTTGGGGACATTTTGGGGGTCCCTGGATAAATCTGGGGACATTTTGGGGGTCCCAGGAACATTTTGGGGGTCCTGGAATATTTTGGGGGGGGTCCTGGGCACATTTTGGGAGGGTTTGGGACATTTGGGGATATTTTTGGGGGGATTTTGGGGATAATTTGGGGACATTTTGGGGGATTTTGGGGTCCCCCCCCTCCAGAAATTCCCATTCCAGAGAAATTTGGGATCGATTTTCAGGAAAAATCCCCAAAATTCCCCATTTTTTGGCAATTCCCTTTGGTTTTTGGGGCGAAAAAAGGAGATTTCGGTTAAAACCAAAAATGGGGGAATCGATTCAAAATCCCGGCTCTGAATCCCAAAGAATTCCTGGGATTTTTTGGGGAATTCTGTAGGAAAAATCAGGGAAAATCACAAGGTGGAGCCTCTGAATTTTGCTGGAAAAGGGAAATTTTGGGGGAAAAAATTGGGAATTTCTCCCAGAAATCTCCCTTGGAATAGGATCATCCCTAAAAATCCCATTCCAGCCCCAAATCCTCACCGGGAACGAGGAAAAGGAAAATTAAAGGGAAAAAATTCCAATTTTTTTTGGAAAAATCTTCCCTAAAATGGTGAAATTTTAGAAAAAAAAAATGAAGGAAATCCCTGGGAATTTTCCCAAATTTCCAACTTTTTATTTTTCCCATTTTTGGGGCTTTTTTTTCCCTGAAACTGCCCCAAATCCCAGCAGAGAATTCCTCAGGGATGGGAAAATTTGGGAATTTCTCCTCTTTTGTGGTTTCTTCATCCTGGAAGGATGGAAAAAAAAAAATAAAATCAGGAAAAAATCCTGGAAAAATAAGATTCATTTTCATCAATTTCCCAGGAATTCTCCCCAAAATCCCAATTCCAGCTTGGAAAAATCCTGGAAAAATCCAAATTTCCTGGATCAAATCCTCACCTTTTCCTGGAATTCTCAGGGGTTTTCCACATTTTTCTCTTCCTCCTTTTCCGGGATTTTTTCCTCTTTTTCTGGAATTTTCTCCTCCTTTTCCGGGATTTTTTCTTGGATTTTTTCCTCTTTTTCTGGGATTTTTTCCAGAATTTTTTCCTCTTTTTCCGGGTTTTTTTCTGGGGTTTTTTCCTCTTCTTCCACGATTTTTTCCGGAATTTTTTCCTCTTTTTCCGGGATTTTCTCTGGAATTTTTTCCGGGATTTTTTCCTCCTCTTCCCCCTCCCCTCCCTCAGTTTGGTTTTGGGTGGAAATCCCGAATTCCTGGGATTTTTCCGTCGGATTTTCCGTCGGATTTTCCCGGGGCTTTTCGGGAATTTCGGGATTTTCGGGAATTTCCGGCTCCTCCAGGAACGGCGGCACCAGGAGGGGCCTGGGGGGCTCCAGGAATTCCTGGGCTCCGGGGCAATCTCCGGGAATTTCGGCGTTTTCCGGGAGTTTTTCCGGGGTTTTTTCCGGGATTTCCTCCGGCGTTTCCGTGGGGTCGGGGTTTTCCCGGGATTCCCCCGGCGGCGGCTCCGGGGGCTCCTCCCGGAAGGGATCCTCACCCTGGAGGGAAAAACGGGAAAAACACGGAAAATTGGGAAAAATTGTGGGGAAAAAAACAGGGGAATTGGGGGAAAAACCCAGGAAAATTGGGAAAAATTGTGGGGAAAAAAACAGGGAAATTGGGGAGAAAAACACGGAAAATTGGGAAAAATTGTGGGGAAAAAAACAGGGAAATTGGGGAGAAAAACATGGAAAATAGGGAAAAATTGTGGGGAAAAAAACAGGGAAATTGGGGAGAAAAACATGGAAAATTGGGAAAAATTGTGGGGAAAAAAACAGGGAAATTGGGGAAGAAAACATGGAAAATTGGGAAAAATTGTGGGGAAAAAAACAGGGAAATTGGGGGAAAAACCCAGGAAAATTGGG